GACGGAAAAACGGCTGCCGCATCCACCGGCGCTTCGGCTCACCGATCCCTCTGATGTATTGCAACAACACAATGAGGCTCGCGATTGTGACAATAAAAATAAAGCCATCTTGAGTGGAAATAATCAAGCACATTGGCAAAAGAGCCACAGATCGCAACTGCAAAGACAATAAAATGTATTTCACGCTAGTTTTCATGGAAAAGGCACATTGCGCAATGTCCCCCTTTTTGCAAATCATGGGAACTTTGTTTGGGGACCCAGAACGGTAAAGACATGTTGATATGAAAAATATGACTTTTTTTTTCATCTTAGAAGCAATTACCGGTAGTACAAGTTTGAAAACTAACCACTGCTAGTAATTCAAATAAAAAAACTGCTTTTCAGGAAATTCAGTGAGGCGTGTCTTTACCGCTACTAATCCAATTCTAAAAATAGGAAGCATTAACACGATGAGCGCCTTCACAAATATGAATATGATTAATCATGAATAATAACACTATGAAAGGTGATTTGAGAGGTCATGTCGCTCAGTTTCAAAAAACGCTGATGACCCCTGCCAATATCCGTCAGTTATTAAATAAAAAAACAAAAAAAGGCAGCATACAAGGCAGACTACATTTAATGAAGATAGACACACTCGGCTCAATTTATAAACATGGCAGTGTTCTATCTTGGCGCATTAAACACAACCTGAGGGCTTAAAAGTCAGAGCAGCCGCTTTAACAACATCACGCGTAGGCAATTGGACCTCCTTTCTGTTATCAGGAGGAACATTGTTTCACAGCTTCGATGTCAGTCTTTCGCAAATCTCAAAGTCCTTGACTGCCAGGGCCGAGTCTCGGGCCAAGGGGGCGGGGAGGACAATGGAGCAGTCGCTGTCAAAATACTTTCCGCTGATGCCTTCGGCTTCCTCTGACACGGCGCAGTAGATGGCGCTGACTGCCCCCTCTTCTGCAGACTGAGGAGACGTGGAAAGGATGGTCAAATAACAACTCGAGCCAGACGGAGGTTAAGAAGCATTAAAATAAATGAGGGAGGGGCCTTTGCGCCGTTGTGGGAGTAGACGCAGCTGACTTGTGAGAGCGGCTTCATTCATTCCCTATGAAATTTGAACGCTGCAGAGGCTCCACAAGTAACGTGAATGACGCACTCACCTTGAAAAAGAACTGTCCAATGAGGTTGAAGATACAACGAATCCTGAAGGGGTAGTGCCTCATCATTCCCGTCATGACAATACCAGGATGGACCGAGTTGGCCGTGACGCCTACATCCACATTTGTCACATACACGTGCGTGCCAGCAAAACGGTAATAATTGTTAGCGTTAACAAATGGAATTCAAAGTCACTTGAGACTTACCTGATCCTCGAAGCCTCCGCGCTAACTCGTTCGTGCAGATGATGTTGTGCAACTTGGTGTGGTTGTAAACTCGATCGAGGTTGTAAGTGACATTTTCCCCACGAAAATGAGAAAAGTCCACTTCACCCTTTTTGTGGTTGACGGAGCTGACAGTGACAATGCGTGCTGGGGCGGAATTTTTGATCAGGTCTGAAAGAAAGAGGGGTGGGGGGGCGCAGAGTGCATCAGTACTTATGAGCAATTTTTTTTTTTTGGGGGGGGGTGCCAATGAAAAGCTTGTGTCGAATATGCAGATGTTTGGGTTTTTTTTTTTTTTTTATGAAACAGAATCTGTTTCTACCTTGTCAGATATACAGGAAAATACGCACAACACTTTGAGATGCATATTTTCATGATCCAAATGATTGGTTGCAAAAGAAACATCAAACCCATCTTTGGTAATCTCCCGGGGTAAACCTAATGGAAAAAAAGTGAGAAACATTAGATGGGGCTTGCACCTCCAACCGAAAGCGTTTTTTCTTATGCTCCCACATTGTAAACACGGAGTAAAAACAAACCTCTATAAAAAAAAAAAAACGACCTGCATATCCTTTATTTTGTGTCGCTGAATTGTACTCAGATGAGATTTATTTCCATTTGATTTTTTTTTTCCAAAAAGGATGGGTGTGCTCCCAGGCTATTTATAATACTGTCAGTTAAAGAGGAAATTCCAAAACAGCTCATCTGATTCAGAGTGCATTTGGGTTATGCAACGTTGGTCTCAACTACAGTATTGATTTCATCCAAAAAAAATTCCACTGCAATCAATGCATTCAGACACACACATTCTTGGGCTCAATCTTCAAACGTGGTCCTCATAAAACGACCAATCTAAACTTCAAGGGTGAAGTTTTGCACCTGACACCGCAGCATTGTTGACGAGGATGTGAAGAGCACGTTCCTCCTCCAGAATCTTCTCAGTAAATTCTCTGACAGAATCCAGAGAAGAAAGGTCCACCTGACGCACGTGCACGTCGGGGTTTCCCGTTTGTGCTTGGATTTCTTGAGCTGCCGCTGCGCCACGGGACACACTTCGACAAGCCAGAATGACCCGGGCACCCCGGCGAGCAAAGTCCATGGCGATGAACTTTCCGATCCCTAAGAGCAAGCAGCGGGGGAAGAGAAAAACCAGCAGCGCGGTACAATCAGCAAGTTATTATTTTCGAAGGGTCAATTTGTCGACGGTATTTTAACAATGGCGTTGATGCTAACTTTAAGCATGACTGTATTCAACGACATCTGTTTAAAACGTCAGAATAGTGGGTTTTACATCAGTGTTAACAAAAAAAAATAAATCAATAGGACCGTCCATTGCAGAATACAAACACCGTAAAGTTGCATGCATAACTTAACATGCTGATACCATCAAACAACCACCTGAAATTCTTTCGCAACACCTGAAAATGATTTTGGCCACCAGATAAGTGACATGAGCACATGACAACAGTCGGCATGAAATGAGACATTCTGCTTTCCATGACTCACATACACGTGCGTGCCAGCAAAACGGTAATAATTGTTAGTGTTAACAAATGGAATTCAAAGTCACTTGAGCCTTACCTGATCCTCGAAGCCTCCGCGCTAACTCGTTCGTGCAGATGATGTTGTGCAACTTGGTGTGGTTGTAAACTCGATCGAGGTTGTAAGTGACATTTTCCCCACGAAAATGAGAAAAGTCCACTTCACCCTTTTTGTGGTTGATGGAGCTGACAGTGACAATGCGTGCTGGGGCGGAATTTTTGATCAGGTCTGAAAGAAAGAGGGGTGGGGGGGCGCAGAGTGCATCAGTACTTATGAGCAATTTTTTTTTTTTGGGGGGGGGTGCAAATTTGGTCAGGTTTTGTCAGGTCAGATGGTGGAAGAGAAATAACTGGCATGGCAAAGATCCTCACTTGACAATTGCGCAACATTCAGGTTTACCAGCGCTCTACCAAAACTCTTGACACACATTCGAAGGACGTCTCGAATCCTACCAAGTAGTTGGTTGGTGAGAAGGAAAGGCCCCAAATGATTGGTTGCAAAAGAAACATCAAACCCATCTTTGGTAATCTCCCGGGGTAAACCTAATGGAAAAAATAGTGAGAAGTATTAGATGGGGCTTGAAACCTCCAACCGAAAGCGTTTTGTTCTCATGCTCCTATATTGTAAACACAGAGTAAAAAACGACCTGCATATCCTTTGTTTTGTGTCGCTGAATTGTACCCAGATGAGATTTATTTCCGTTTGATTTTTTTTTTTCCAAAAAGGATGGGTGTGCTCCCAGGCTATTTATAATACTGTCAGTTAAAGAGGAAATTCCAAAACAGCTCATCTGATTCAGAGTGCATTTGGGTTATGCAACGTTGGTCCCAACTACAGTATTGATTTCATCCCAAAAAAATTCCACTCCAATCAATGCATTCAGACACAGTGAGAAACATTAGATGGGGCTTGCACCTCCAACCGAAAGCGTTTTTTCTTATGCTCCCACATTGTAAACACGGAGTAAAAACAAACCTCTATAAAAAAAAAAAAACGACCTGCATATCCTTTATTTTGTGTCGCTGAATTGTACTCAGATGAGATTTATTTCCATTTGATTTTTTTTTTCCAAAAAGGATGGGTGTGCTCCCAGGCTATTTATAATACTGTCAGTTAAAGAGGAAATTCCAAAACAGCTCATCTGATTCAGAGTGCATTTGGGTTATGCAACGTTGGTCTCAACTACAGTATTGATTTCATCCAAAAAAAATTCCACTGCAATCAATGCATTCAGACACACACATTCTTGGGCTCAATCTTCAAACGTGGTCCCCATAAAACGACCAATCTAAACTTCAAGGGTGAAGTTTTGCACCTGACACCGCAGCATTGTTGACGAGGATGTGAAGAGCACGTTCCTCCTCCAGAATCTTCTCAGTAAATTCTCTGACAGAATCCAGAGAAGAAAGGTCCACCTGACGCACGTGCACGTCGGGGTTTCCCGTTTGTGCTTGGATTTCTTGAGCTGCCGCTGCGCCACGGGACACACTTCGACAAGCCAGAATGACCCGGGCACCCCGGCGAGCAAAGTCCATGGCGATGAACTTTCCGATCCCTAAGAGCAAGCAGCGGGGGAAGAGAAAAACCAGCAGCGCGGTACAATCAGCAAGTTATTATTTTCGAAGGGTCAATTTGTCGACGGTATTTTAACAATGGCGTTGATGCTAACTTTAAGCATGACTGTATTCAACGACATCTGTTTAAAACGTCAGAATAGTGGGTTTTACATCAGTGTTAACAAAAAAAAATAAATCAATAGGACCGTCCATTGCAGAATACAAACACCGTAAAGTTGCATGCATAACTTAACATGCTGATACCATCAAACAACCACCTGAAATTCTTTCGCAACACCTGAAAATGATTTTGGCCACCAGATAAGTGACATGAGCACATGACAACAGTCGGCATGAAATGAGACATTCTGCTTTCCATGACCATTTGTTGTTTTGCTTTGCTGGCAGAACCACATGTAATGACTTGCTCAGATAAAAGCGATTTGAAAACAGGAATGGTCGTTTGATTAACTGACAAAAAATAAAAAACCCAAAACCCAAACAAACACTGCAGTCTGATTGAAAGAATTCAAGCTTTCAAGTTAGGATAGTTCTTCGGGCTACCATATAGTATAATCGTTAATCATTAGACTGATTTATGCAGGAGAGCAGCTGCACTACCACGCCAACAATCAAGAACTGGTTACGCTGTCATTGCTGCAATCAAAGACTGCTGTCATGCCGAGGCCAGCTGACTGTAAAAAAAAACAATGCCTTTACTACTTTGCAAAAGCATCAACCTCCCCAAAAACCTTGTTCAAAGATCTTTGACTGTATTCAACGACATCTGTTTAAAACGTCAGAATAGTGGGTTTTACATCAGTGTTAACAAAAAAAAATAAATCAATAGGACCGTCCATTGCAGAATACAAACACCGTAAAGTTGCATAACTTAACATGCTGATACCATCAAACAACCACCTGAAATTCTTTCGCAATGACTGAAAATGATTTTGGCCACCAGATAAGTGACATGAGCACATGACAACAGTCGGCATGAAATGAGACATTCTGCTTTCCATGACCATTTGTTGTTTTGCTTTGCTGGCAGAACCACATGTAATGACTTGCTCAGATAAAAGCGGTTTGAAAACAGGAATGGTCTTTTGATTAACTGGCAAAAAATAAAAAACCCAAAACCCAAACAAACACTGCATTCTGATTGAAAGAATTCAAGCTTTCAAGTTAGGATAGTTCTTCGGGCTACCATATAGTATAATCGTTAATCATTAGACTGATTTATGCAGGAGAGCAGCTGCACTACCACGCCAACAATCAAGAACTGGTTACGCTGTCATTGCTGCAATCAAAGACTGCTGTCATGCCGAGGCCAGCTGACTGTAAAAAAAAACAATGCCTTTACTACTTTGCAAAAGCATCAACCTCCCCAAAAACCTTGTTCAAAGATCTTAGAGCCCTGAGCTTTGCAATGAACAAAATGGCGCATCGACAGAACGGAAATTGAGTTTCCAACTGCAACAAAACATTCCATCAATTTATGATAACAAAACAAGTCTGCTCAAATGTATCAAACCTGACTACTTGCATTTGTTATTGTCAAAAAAACGTCCAGGCCTTCAGTGGAGGTGACAATGATGTCCAACGGCTTCTGCAAAGCGTGGGAAGACGCTAATTTTTCAAGTGGAGACAGAACATGGTCAGCGAATTGTGAAAAGAAAAGAAAAAAGATTTGGACAGTGACGATCTGCAGCTATTATATTATGTAACAATACAGTATGACGTATGTACAAAGTATGATGAAATTCTGAAGAAAATGTTTGCATTTCCACACACACACACACTCACACAGACACACACGAGTCAAGTGGTATCTCGATACAAGTGCATCACGATAAAATAAAATATCAAACTCCTAGAATATCGTACAAATGTTCATTTATTTAAATAGGTCAGTTCGAAAAGTGAACATTTTGTGAATGCAATTCATATCAACAATGAGCGTGATTGTTTCTTATGGAATTTCGGAATTTCTCAAGATCGTGAAGCGGGTTCAACTATTCAATTTCCAATACTCAAATTCATTGAGACGCGCTTGCATGTAGCAACAAGGGTACCCAAATATATGTCCCAATATCCAAGGATAATGTCGACAATATTTGAACAATCTGGCTGTATACCTAATGTCAAAGAATAATATCAAAATGTCGATCCATGCATTTACCGCACATGGGACACATGCATTTCACGATTGTTATAGAATGGCAAAAATCATGATCATGTAGCTTTATGAATGTCTCACATCAGCCCCATACATTTCCACATTGTCATGAATGGGTCTGAATTAAGGTTCAAAGCCCAAAAATAATCACATCTGCATTTGTAAATATATCGAACTGGTATCTAAAATTTTGGCTTTCACATAGAAAGTTTTTTTGACACGATTGTCAACTTTTATTCACAGGGGTGGACAGGGGGCCAACGTATTTGCACATAGCTAAAGCGTTTGTGTGGAATAATTCAATGAGACAGAAAATATCGCTGCTAATCCAAGACCGAAGCATACCTGAATTGCCTCCTGTCACTATCGCCGTCTTCCCTTTGAGCTGCGTGGGGCAGGCTCGCGGGTCCCACGTCCCTCTGCGCTGCCGGCGCCCCACCATCCACAGCAGCAGCGTGGGGACCATCCACAGCGGGTGAGCGATCACATCCAGCCAGTTCATGGTACTGCCAGCGTGCTTGGGGAGAAGCACAAAGAGATAGATGACTTCTGAAGCTCCAAGTTTGACGTGACGATGTGAACCGGTTCACGGTAAGTAGGAGTGATCACCGAGCTCATTACCATGTGACCATATGTAGTTAGTTACTGATTCATCGAGGCTATCGTAATAGTTCCGTTTAAGCCTTTGACGCTCGATGTGGTTCGTTTGCAAGCTTTTCTGGTCATGCCCATCATTGGCTTCATTATCTTTCAACATCTGCGCCAGGTCGTCCTTTGTAATGCGTCTCCCGTGGAACCTGTTCGGCCAAACTTTTGTTTATTGTCTGCCAACATGCCATCCTGCCTACCTGATTTGTTCATCAACTCAGTAGCATTTTACACCACGAGATGAGGCTTCAGTCTTTTCAACGTCCAAAAACAAGCCATTTTAGTTGTAATTGTCACAATTACAATATTGGGAGGGCAAAAGTAGTCACACGCTGCACTTAAGTAGTCGTACTTGTGCTAAAAATAAATAACTAAATAGTCGAATACACGGAGGAGAACTCAAACAGCGGCTTAAGTACAAATACAAGTAAAAAGTATATTGCCTGAAATTTGAGCGCCAAAGTAAAAATGAATTTCTTGTGTTTTTTGTGAACTTCGTACATACAATGAAAAAATAAAAGTTAAAAAAAAAAACAAGAGTTTCCGTAGTGCTTGTACTGAGAGCTAGCAAAACAAGGTGTTCCCCTACACTTGCTAATGCTGTGAAATAACGGTAATTTCAGAAAAAAAGTTAAATGAGCTCATACGATTGTTCCTTGCTATATTGCGTTTTATTTTTTGGTGGGTTCAGTGCATAATCAATTTTTAAAAAATAGTATTCATGCAGTTTATTTGCTATATCGCAGGATTGTGCTGTGCTTCATTTTCCACACAAGACTGTTACTGCAAACTCACAAAGCAATAAACAAGAGCCAGGAGAAAAGAGTAGTAAAAGATAGAAAATGTCCAAAGTTTGGAAACTGTTGAGGAATTTAGCCTTACTATGAGTACTATTGGGGCTGCTCGCCTCTCATTAACATATTACTCCTATATAAACGTGACTCTGTATTTTTCCTTTGCGTCCTGACGAAATCTGAAACTCTCAGAAGCCCGAATTTATTCGTATTGTGTTGTGATAAACTGCAGAAAAGACGATGTGGTGTTGGGTCTTTATTCCACCTTATAGAGAAATAAAAGGACCTGTGTCCAAGGAGTGCCATAAGGAAATGGACAGCTCCCCTCCACAATAAAACATTTCCCAATTAATACAAGAAGCTAAAGTCCAACCTACCGATTGCAAAGTACAACAATCTTAATGAACCAATTAACATAAATATAAAGACAAAAAAGACGGGGAAAAAGTACTACTATTCTGTACTTCAGTACATATGCAATTTCTTGTGTAAAAAAAAAAAAAAACACTTTGGCAAAAGCAAAAGTACTCATTCAAATAATTACTCAAGTACACATAAAGTACGGGCTATAAAATGTACTTGAAGAGTAAAAATAAAAAGCATTTTTTCTGGATGGTTTGGTCAGAAGTGGTTATGGTCAGAAGTCTTTGTCGGTTTGTAAAACTGGTCTTTATATGTCTACCTGGCCACTTGTTCAGCAAAGTATTGGGTCATAGTCTCTTTCCTTCTCTCTTTTTAAACTGTCAGATGGACTGACCTCTGACCTCTCTGTTGCATAATAAAGCTACAGTAGGTTGAACTCAATGCTGCTCCCTAGTGTCTAATCCAGAGATGTCAAACTAATTTTACTAGTTGAGGGGCCACATTCTCCTAATTCGATCTCTTATAGGCAGGACCAGTATATTCCAAGTGTAATAAACTACAAATCATAACTGCAATTCGAAATTTCTTAACAGAAAAGAGCAGCACACTGACACAACCAAAGTTTAATCAGAGAATACCTTCCACAAGGTGCAATACAGACATACTCCAAGTACATATAGATTTGAAGATGAAATGGACAAAAAGGATTGCAACCAAACTGCAATATAATATTTGTTGTTTTTTTACAGAGGATAAAGAGTAGATGAATGTGAATAATTTTGCTTGCTGTCTGGTTGTTAACAGCTGCATTATGTGTTAGGATTAAGCTGGCAGACTTTCACAGGAAAATGTAGTTTGGTGAAATCTACATGTGATTGTCTTTGTTTTATGTTTGTTTTACCAGTAAAAATAACTTGTAGGGCTCTAGTTTCATGCCCAGTGTAAATCTGGCATGAGGCGCGAGATAAATCTGTGCAGGGGTGGGCTAGACTAAGTTTTGGTATTTTTGCAGAACTGCGCAAGTCGGTGCAGCATGGCACATTTTTAAAGTTTTGTGCCAGTGTGGGTGTGCAGACTTATTTGGCCGCCAATCAAGCGACCACACGTGAGAGCCACGCTGATCATCCTTGAAGAAGAAAAGCTAGAAAGGCTCGGTATGTCAATCACAAACATCAATCAACTTCCTCTTTGCTGTCACTACATCCCCCTAACAAAACAACAACAATGAAAACAAACAGAGAAGCAAATCACACGTGGAGTTAAAACAAAAAAAGTCCATCATCTGCTGATGTCTTGTGTTTGAGGGATGTCATAAATTTGCAGTGTGTCTCTTTAGAAGCATTTCTTTTTATATTGATACACAAAATCAAAATTTAGAAGGCACTATCATCAAACATTTAGAGCCACTTAAATGTTTCAGTGTAATGCTCACTATTTCTTGTCCAATAATGTGAAGCAAATAATGGTTTGCTCGTTGCTGTCCTACGAAGGAAAACGATTGGAGGACGCAGCTGTCTGTGTGCCGGTTTGAGCACATCCGGTGGGAGGGCGGTTGCGTCGCTGCTATAAAACGGGGTCCCAATTGGAATGTGTAATGAAGAGAGCAAGAGAGCAAGAGAGAGAGAGAGAGAGAGAGAGAGAGAGAGAGAGAGGGGAGCGCACAGGAAGCGTAAAATTAGATTAGAGGACAGGGGATGCCTGTTGGAGGGACTACCATTTGTATTTGTGGACTACGCACGTGGGCAGCATGTTAGTACTTCAAATCTGAACAAGGGGTCTTTCGGTGTTTAAACTCTACTTTTAGTTTAAAAAAAAAAAAAAAGTCTTGCAAGACAAAGAGTCCAAATGAGAGAAAAGGTCAAACTTCAAGAAGAGGAAATGAAGGACTTTGCACAGTCAGCAGATGGAGGGGTCTCTCTGGGAAAAGCGTCTCTTGTAACCCGAGCTTTTCGATTAAGGAATGAAATTGTTCGCGTGGGACTCGCCGAAACTCTTTAGACGGGGAAAAAGTACTACTATTCTGTACTTCAGTACATATGCAATTTCTTTGTTAAAAAAAAAAAAAAACACTTTGGCAAAAGCAAAAGTACTCATTCAAATAATTACTCAAGTACACATAAAGTACGGGCTATAAAATGTACTTGAAGAGTAAAAATAAAAAGCATTTTTTCTGGATGGTTTGGTCAGAAGTGGTTATGGTCAGAAGTCTTTGTCGGTTTGTAAAACTGGTCTTTATATGTCTACCTGGCCACTTGTTCAGCAAAGTATTGGGTCATAGTCTCTTTCCTTCTCTCTTTTTAAACTGTCAGATGGACTGACCTCTGACCTCTCTGTTGCATAATAAAGCTACAGTAGGTTGAACTCAATGCTGCTCCCTAGTGTCTAATCCAGAGATGTCAAACTAATTTTACTAGTTGAGGGGCCACATTCTCCTAATTCGATCTCTTATAGGCAGGACCAGTATATTCCAAGTGTAATAAACTACAAATCATAACTGCAATTCGAAATTTCTTAACAGAAAAGAGCAGCACACTGACACAACCAAAGTTTAATCAGAATACCTTCACCACAAGGTGCAATACAGACATACTCCAAGTACATATAGATTTGAAGATGAAATGGACAAAGAGGATTGCAACCAAACTGCAATATAATATTTGTTGTTTTTTTACAGAGGATAAAGAGTAGATGAATGTGAATAATTTTGCTTGCTGTCTGGTTGTTAACAGCTGCATTATGTGTTAGGATTAAGCTGGCAGACTTTCACAGGAAAATGTAGTTTGGTGAAATCTACATGTGATTGTCTTTGTTTTATGTTTGTTTTACCAGTAAAAATAACTTGTAGGGCTCTAGTTTCATGCCCAGTGTAAATCTGGCATGAGGCGCGAGATAAATCTGTGCAGGGGTGGGCTAGACTAAGTTTTGGTATTTTTGCAGAACTGCGCAAGTCGGTGCAGCATGGCACATTTTTAAAGTTTTGTGCCAGTGTGGGTGTGCAGACTTATTTGGCCGCCAATCAAGCGACCACACGTGAGAGCCACGCTGATCATCCTTGAAGAAGAAAAGCTAGAAAGGCTCGGTATGTCAATCACAAACATCAATCAACTTCCTCTTTGCTGTCACTACATCCCCCTAACAAAACAACAACAATGAAAACAAACAGAGAAGCAAATCACACGTGGAGTTAAAACAAAAAAAGTCCATCATCTGCTGATGTCTTGTGTTTGAGGGATGTCATAAATTTGCAGTGTGTCTCTTTAGAAGCATTTCTTTTTATATTGATACACAAAATCAAAATTTAGAAGGCACTATCATCAAACATTTAGAGCCACTTAAATGTTTCAGTGTAATGCTCACTATTTCTTGTCCAATAATGTGAAGCAAATAATGGTTTGCTCGTTGCTGTCCTACGAAGGAAAACGATTGGAGGACGCAGCTGTCTGTGTGCCGGTTTGAGCACATCCGGTGGGAGGGCGGTTGCGTCGCTGCTATAAAACGGGGTCCCAATTGGAATGTGTAATGAAGAGAGCAAGAGAGCAAGAGAGAGAGAGAGAGAGAGAGAGAGTGGAGCGCACAGGAAGCGTAAAATTAGATTAGAGGACAGGGGATGCCTGTTGGAGGGACTACCATTTGTATTTGTGGACTACGCACGTGGGCAGCATGTTAGTACTTCAAATCTGAACAAGGGGTCTTTCGGTGTTTAAACTCTACTTTTAGTTTAAAAAAAAAAAAAAGTCTTGCAAGACAAAGAGTCCAAATGAGAGAAAAGGTCAAACTTCAAGAAGAGGAAATGAAGGACTTTGCACAGTCAGCAGATGGAGGGGTCTCTCTGGGAAAAGCGTCTCTTGTAACCCGATCTTTTCGATTAAGGAATGAAATTGTTCGCGTGGGACTCGCCGAAACTCTTTGCACATACGTGATGATGGTAAGGAATCATTTCTTCATACTTTGTGATTGAAAACAACATCATTTGGAAACAAAATGCTGTGTGTGGGGGCGAGGGGGGGGAGTGAAACATTTGGACATGGTTTGTATATCGGTTCATTCAAGGCATAAATGAGTCATGTGATCACGCTTGTGTTCTTGTTAATCAAATTCTCTTTGCCCCCCCAAACACGTTTTGTGCTCACGTGTTTGTGTTTGTGGATTCAATCTGAAGAGGGGTCAGACAGTGGGCCACGTGGAGAGGGTCGCGAGAGTCACATGTTTGTCTGCCGTTGTAATCGATCCCATATTTAGAACTGGAAGAGACACATCGTGAAGCCCAGAGAGAAACCTTCAACGTAATACGCTGTCACGACAACAGCCCGTTTCCTAAGCATTTGTGTGTACTCCCAATTTGCGCTTCGACACCGCTTACTTTTTAACCGAAGCATAATTTGTGGAGGCAGGACTACACATTCCCCGTTCCCTGAATGAATAGCTCAGTGTGAGCCGTTTTTCGCTCATTCTACTCTGTTTGTCTGACTTGGCCTCAGAGTTTGAAGTTCAAATCCATCCAAACTTGGAGTTGTTTTTTTATTTTTTGGAGTGATTCAAATGTGACTCACCAAAGGGATAACCTTTGCCTTATTATCATGATCATTATTATTTTTCCCTTAAATTAACCCCTTTCACGCCTGATGACATGATAAGCTGTCCATTGTAGTAACCGCTGTCCCCTAAAGGATTAATTAATTCATGACTTTTGCTCGGTTAAGCATCCAGCCTGTTGCAAAGACTTATTCCGTCGGATGTTTTGTCTGTCTCTAATCATCACCCATGATGTGCTTCGCGGTGAACTCCTTGTTTTTGTGTGCAGGTATTTGGCCTCGGCTCTGTGGCGCAGGTCGTGACTGGACAAGGAGCATTTGGACATTACATAAGCATCAATCTGGGCTTTGGGCTGGGTGTCGCGCTCGGGTGTCATGTCGGAGGCAAAGTTTCAGGTATAAAAGCGGACCCATCCTTCCATCGTAAAGATAAATGCTATCTGTGCCACAATGTGCTCCGTCGTGGCTCCACCAGGCGCTCACATGAACGCGGCGGTGTCCTTCGCCATGTGCGTGTATGGCCGCCTCGCGTGGAAGATGCTCCCGCTCTACTTTTTGTCACAGCTGCTGGGGTCCTTTTTAGCCGCGGGGTCGGTTTACGCTGTGTATTATGGTGAGGACACAATGCACGGAAAAAAAACAATCGAGACTGACCACTTTCACCTTTCACGTGACATACCGGTAAATGATTGCATATTTTATGTTCGCAGAGGCAATACATGACTATTGTGGAGGGAATCTGACTGCCACCGGTGCCAAGGCTACCGCTGCTATCTTTGCCACCTATCCGGCCCCGTATCTCTCTTTGTTTGGCGGATTCATTGACCAAGTACAGTGTGCATAACATTGAGTTTATGAGACACCCTTGACAGAAAAAAAAAATGCTTCGTTGAACTTTTCCCGTGGAGCGATCCGCAGGCATTCTCATGACCTTTCTTGTGTTGTTGTGTTGGCAGGTATTTGGTACAGCGATGCTTCTGCTGTGCCTGATGGCTTTGTCCGACCAGAAAAACAAACCGGCTGAAGCAGGCAGCGAATCAACTCTCGTGGGTCTCCTGGTGCTCTTAATCGGCATTTCTCTGGGCAGCAACAGCGGTTACGCAATCAACCCCACCAGAGACCTCGGACCGAGGCTCTTCACAGCCGTTGCCGGCTGGGGGCTTGACGTGTTCAGGTAGGGAGGAATTGCACGCTGATGGGTCCCCAGGTATTCTGCAAAATTGGCACAACACAGCCATAACGGTTGATTTGGCAAGTGTTATTGGCAATATTATTTGCTCTTAATTCGTCGAAACTGGCGTCACGTCAGTCATCTGACGGGAATCTCAGTGAGCCTGCATTTCACTTGCCGAAGAAAAAACTGATGGGAAAACGGTGACGTCTTTGCAGCTTCGATATCAGGCTGTAAATGATTGCAGAGAATTTGCAACCAAGTGTTAAAAAGTCAAAGTTTGATTTGTGATTGTGAATCTGCCCCATTACTGTGAAGATAATCCCAACACTGTCCACCGGATTTGGATGTACAGTAAATACCTTCAAATTAAAGATAAAAGTCTGCGGCACATTTAAAGCCCAACCGACATTGTGAAAGGGGCCTCGTGTCCCCAAAGATAAAGAAAAAAAATTGGTCTGACTCAAATTTGTAAATACGATTTGCTTGTTGAGCTTTCTCTTTTACGTTTTGATCTGTGCAGGGCTGGAAACGGTTGGTGGTGGGTGCCCGTTATTGCCCCGATGATCGGAGGCGTGCTGGGCGCGGGGCTCTACAAGCTCTTGGTGGAACTTCACCATCCTCCACGCTCGGAAAATTGTGCTGGACCCATTAAAACCTTAGAGGAGACGGCACAAAACACCGACACTGAATTGCGTGTGTGAACGGTTTCCCAGCTGCCAAGGTGTATGGAACACGTCAAGCTGTAGTTGACACATTCCAAGGTTGTTCCGATTGGACGACTTGCGTGTATGTATCTTGGTGACTCAGTTACAATTTGCATCGTTGATGCAAAAGTAGCTGGTCTAACTTTCGAGTAACTGCTTGTTTAACACTAACTGTATTACAATCCTACCTCCTTTCAGAGACTACGGTCGTAACTTTAATATGATGCAGAGAAATAAGTGCCCATCTATTATTCATTCAAGCAATCAGCAGGGCAAAACGTTGAAAACACGACCTTGATGTTGGAACGGCTTGAAAACGACCTGAGCCTAAAGTTGAGCCAAGAAGTCTTATCGGACTTTCGCAGCCGCATTCTCGGGGGCATTACACTTCCAAGCGAATAATCAGATATCTTCCATGTGAATCCTTGGGGCAAGTATTTATTAAAGGAAAGATGACTTAACTTTTTCGACGGATTTATAAACGGTGGTTACATTAGCGCCTGAGATATTGAAAATCTGACACCGTGAGGTTCACGGTGTCAGGTGTTGATCCACGTCATTCAAGGAAAAGTAGCCACCTTTGATTTTCAATTTTCACAAGACATCATAGTTGACAGTCAAAATCGAATTGAAATGTGGAATAAAATCTCAAGCCTTTAAATATATATATGCAAAAAAAAGTAATCCGGCGATCACTTGCGTCGCTCATGATTCTCTGAAATGAAACTGTGAGCGTTGACACTCGTGACAGAGCCTCAGTCCAACCATTTCGTTCTTCAATACTACCTGAGAATACTGACAGGAGAACCTGTCGAAAATATCACCGGCGAGCCGACGTTGTTTCATCGCTTGGCGACGCCAGGTCTTCCGCTGCTGCCTGGGCTTTTGGCAGTGCTCGCTAGGCTGCACGGTGTGGATGGCTTCTTCTTTGGTGTGGGCACCTTAGCTTTGGCTTTAAACGCCTTTGTGGGATCTAACTTGTTGAGGTGCAAGTCTCCAGCCGAAGGGGTCAGGCTGAGCTCACTTCTGAAGGTCCGCGGCTGGTACAGCGATGCCCACTGCTGAAGAGGGAACACGTGTTTGAGACTCAACGCAAAAACAAATGAGAAAATGAAATCAGGTGACATTTTGATTCTTGAATGAAAATCATTTTTTGTATGTGGGTGTGTGTGTGTGTTGTTTGAACGTTGTGTCGTACTTGATTTTTAATCGACATTCACTGCACTCATGAGAATGTCAAAAAAATAAAAGTGTACCTCAATTGATCTTGCGTATTTACTACTTGACTAAGATAGGCTCACTGATGGAGAGTATTTAGAGAAGAACGATTTTTGCTACCTTAGCTTGCGGACTGGGGCCATAAGGTGTAAAAGAATACTGCCACTCAGGCAGCCCCAGGTGAGTGATCATGAGGCGGTAGTAAGAGGAGAAGGTTGCGGTTAAGAAATGCCAGCAAAGCGAGCGGTCCAGAAACCAAATTTCACTTTGCTGGGCTACCACACCTGTAAAAAGAAAAAAAAAAATGTTTACTTGGTGAGAGCCAAAATTATTGTTTTTTATTTTTTATTTTAAAGAACTGCACCTGGGGTGGAGTTTTTGTATGCCAAGCACACCTTGCCATTCCCGCCACATGAATCCAACTCAAAGATGCGACTCCGAGAATCGAAATGTGGAGGGGTGGAAGTGTCTGGCAACCCTGCTGGATGACAATGATGAATTTGTAATATTTATTTGGGTGAATTCAACATTGCAACTGTTGCCTTTGCTCCAAGTGAGTGCGCAATTTGACTGATGATCTACCGCATTCAACGCTGCTCTCATCCCAGTCTAGATCGGCCAGTGAGGGTGCATTGGGCAGAGAGAAAAGCGGTGTTGGCTGGAGAAGGGGCTGCAACCTTCCCACACTGTTAATTGTCATGCATCCTAAGGGAACACATTCGTCTAAGGGAGACACACAAAAAACATTGGGAATATATAGTTGCTTTCATTGTAAACCATAACGTTAATTCAGTACACGTAAAATTCTGTTTACAGTGTTTCCCAACTTTTACTGAGCCAAGGTGCATATTTTACATTGGAAAAATATCACAACAGGACAACACTAGAAATGTCGGTGTGAAATCTGGTTTTCTTTAGCTCAACACAGAGGCATGACTGTTGTACGAATTTCGCAAAATGGGGACATTTGCAAAATTGTCATCTGTCGTTTGTGTTATTTAATTCTTCAACCAGTCACAATAAATCGTTGGCATAGTTAGGTAAGCAAAGGGAAATTATTCATAGTAAATAATGAATTATTTTCTGAACAATGAAGCGAAATTGGATCGTTTCCTGGCATAGTTGGGAAACCCTGTGTTAGAATATTAAAACATAGGTTCACTTGCTGTCTAGTTTGACGTTCCAAGTAAGTGTAAAGCCATCTGTTGTCAGATAAAAATCTCGCAGGTCCTCTGGTAAAATACAATTGTTTTTCTGGGAAGGGGAGGAAACAGATGGTTTGTTATTTATGTGCCATTTGATTATGAACAGTTGCAGGGTTTGGAATGGGTTTTCTTCACCTGCTCCCATGACAACAGATTCCTCTTTTCTGCAGGCTCCCTCTCTGCAAGCCGCACATCGACAACACCAGGCATGCTCTCTTGTAAAAAAAAAAGGACACGATTCAGAATGTTTTTACATGGAATCGGTGATACTGTATGTACGTTAACATCCTTGCTTGCTAAACTATATGTTACAGATGTTGCTATAACTCCGACGCCGCATCAAAACACTCACCAAGGATGCGAGTGATGCCGAGCGTCAGTCTTTCAGGCACACATTTAAACGCCAATCTTTCTTTTGTCTCATCCATTCTATTACCGATGAAATTAGATTTTTATATGTCCCTAGAAGAGCATCCCCTTTTGGGTTGTAACTGAATCGGTTACCAAGGACGTCAAGCAGCCGCTGGCAACATTTCTTCTTCTTCGTTATGAGTTTATGATGTTTAACATCACTGCCACCTTCCGGTGTCACTTGATTTTCACATTTACACATATGCCACCTTAGTCCAAAAAGTTAATCACGACAGTTGTTCATTATGTAAAACTTTCTTAATTTTAATTAATATCATCACGTTACTGTGCAGTCTCCAGGAGGCGTGTTCGCTTTGGGGGAAAGAAATAAAAATAAAGAATAAAACGTTAAACGTGTAAGCCAATAGCAAGCCGTCTTTTCGAAGACTTGCCAATCAGATCTTCATATTTCACTAGGAGGCGGGGCTACAATTTCTTTGCAAGGTTTGGTTCCCTGTCACTTGCGGCGGTTGTTTCAACATGGCGGCAGCTGAAAAAAGGAATGCCAAATCTGAAATACTTTGGACGAAGAGTGGTAGGCTGATTTATTCATTTATTTGCTTACCAGTACGTTAGTTCTTATCCAGCATTTCCCCACGATGAAGTGTGTTTTACAAAACAGCAACCTACTTCTTATTTAGCAGTCAAGTATCAAAAGAAGAGACCTAATAAACCACGCTACAGGGAAACAGGACTGCGTCCGATGTGTTTATAATTTTGTATGGATTTTACTTATGCTTTTTTTTTTCTAAAATAAAGAGGTAATATATAAGAAGCACTTCTCCTTATAATTCAGTTCAGTTTTACACTCCTGCAAAACACAACGTTATAATAATAACCATGTCATAGTGATTAATGGTGCCTTTGTCGTTTAAAACTAAGCATTGTAGTGTTTTTGGAATGAACATCTTGTGTTGATTGGATTGTACAAGTATATACTTTACTCGTGAGTCTATATTGAAGTTTGTAGTACTGTATTCCTGTTTGCTGTTTTCGTCAATTTATGAAGACTGTTTTTAATGCACGTCATTTTTTGGCTGATATACACACATTTATTTGACACAATTAGAGTCCTCCATTTATTAATCAACCACAGTAGTTAATGCTGCAATCATACACCGTTCGTGACACTTGGGAGCAGAGGGAAGCTTAGCCAGTGCACAGGGAGCAGATTTTGGAGTCAAGTGTCTTGTGCAAGAGAAACTCAACTAGTCGTGACATTTTGGTCACAGCGAGAACTGTGCTGTTATACTCAAAAGACTAATCTGGATTGTTTTGATCCACATTGTAATCATGATGATTAGCCACAATGACTGAGCATTTTAAGCAGCAGTAATTTTATTGCACCGCTCTGCAACAAAACAGGTTTTAGTGGAAAATAAAACTTAAATACATTGATAATTTTTTATTGTAAATGCTATGATCTGAAATGTTTTTCTCCAATCGCAGGAGGAGACAAAGTGGTCCCTTGTAAACCAAGCGGTATAAGTACCTCAATTAAAAAAAACACCAAGATGCAAGCCCGACGCATCTCTGACTGCAAGATGGACACACCATTAAGGAGAGGCGGCACAACCCAAAGCTATGTACAAAATGATCAATGTAGCTCTGACGTTAAGGAAAATGCGTCTGCCCTTGCCTTTGCTTCCGTAACGACTGAGAACGCCCTTGTTCCAACGCTAGGTCTGATACCCCCCGTTTCACAAGTAAGGCTTTTGTCATTATTTTTGTCCTATTTGTAATTCCTACGGGTGACCCGAATGTGAAAATGACCCATGTTTCCTAGATCATATTTGGAAGTAGCAGTGCACAGAGCCAAGTCGGTTTGAAAGACCTCTGTCCTGAGGACAAACGACGCATTGCAAACCTGATTGAAGAGCTAGCCAGGTAGTTTGCTGTATGGGACTGATCCCGCTGTGTGTTTAAGTTACAAGGCAATTTAAATTAAATCCATCGTGCCCTTTGCTTTCTTGCAAAAGCAAAATTTCCTTTCATTTTCCTCCCATTTCATTTAAATATTGAAAACTGTATTGTCTCCTGTTTTTTTTTTTCCCTAGGGTGAGTGAGGAGAAGGAAGAGTCGGTGAAGCGCCTCAAAGATGAACACGATAATTTTGAAAGCAAAATCCAACAACTCGAGCAACAGAACATGCTTATAGCACATGAAAGAGAAAGTATCCTTTCAGATATTATTGACAAAATGCCAGTGCCGTAAGTCTGAATCCTCCACATCCTCTTTTGCCAAAATAATTCACAGATAGCATAGAATGCATTAATTGAGGCAATTTTCTTGATTTTAATTTTAATTCTCTTTGTTTTATGTCTAGTTTGACAGTAACCTTCAAGTGGGAGTGCAATTAAACTGAAGTCCCCCCCAATTGTTCACTATTTGCCAAACTTCTGCTTCTTGTGAAGTGAGTCGAGGAGAGTTCACCGCCATCATACGGCGCTCGTATATCAAATTTGCGCTCGCAAGTTAAAGCAAAAGCTCGCGCAAATGACGGGTTGTATCTTGAAAAACTCGCGTAAGTCAAGTCACTTGCATCTCAAGTGCATTCGAACACTGCAATTGATATGTTGTCACAGTTACGGTATTCTTCAAGGCAGATCATTCTGACCTTGAAATAATCTCTCCATATCATCTTTGATGTCGGAAAAAAATGTCTCTCTGTGCCTGTTAGCACCCGTTTCTTAAATCCTACAGATGTACTGAGGTGACAGATTTGTACAGTTTGTGACTACAACATTAGGTGCATGTAGACCGAAGCTCAAGAGAATTAGTATTTGCTTTGTGTTTGTATATTTATGACAACAAAACGTTTGGCTCCTTGTCTAATGAGATTGCGCCGGTGCAACTAATCAAAAGTCTGGTGGCTGCGTCAGTCTGTGCGACGCGTGACTGTGTCGGAGGAAGTCAACAGGGGGCACTGTTGTCCAGAGTAAGGCGTTATACAGCCTTGTGCAAATCTTGAATTCCTAGGCAGACAAATGGGGAGATTCATTTCAATTTTTTATTTTTTTTTTTGACGCCTGCCACAGTTGTCTTTTGTAAACGCTTGCAGCTTATTTGCTTTTGTGCACAAAATCAATTTCACGGTTGGAGCAATGGCCCAAACTCGAAAGCATCTATTAAGTTTGGTATTTACTAAGAAGACTTTGGTGTGTCTTTTCAATATGTTTTTGTAACCTTTACTTTGCACGTTGGGTGTCATTTCCTCACCGCGCAGCGAAAGCCGCAATATTCTTTATTCACTAATTTGAGGCTAACAACGTTTATTATGTTTTATGCGCTCTGCTGTCTTCCTTAAAATTCCACTCAGGTTCACACACAGTTGAGGCTAAATTGCTGCAAAATATGAAGAGTAATTGACCCTGCTGGTAAATTGTATGATTGGAAATGGAAGTGCATTAAATCAGGATGGCACAGCTCAATTAAATGTGCTCAGGCTTGCAGACTTGGCATTTACACCAAAGTTCCAAACTCCATTAAAAGGTATTTGAGAGAGAAAAATGTTAGGTTCCCAGCACCTCGGGGGGTGGGGGGTGTAACGTCGTCTTTTAAAAGAAGTGTGGGCAAGAGTCATGAACGTACTTCTTGGGGATAAGGTTCTGGCACTTTGCAGAAAGGTTAAGGAGACACCAAAGGCAAACACGCTGAATGAGAGGCTTGTCAAATCTAATTCCATTACGCCTTAGCTTATCTTATCTAACCAAGGTTCAGGGTTGACAGGGTGTAAGAAATGTTGGGCTGTACTTTAGCTCTAAGCCACCAAGGATGAGAGAGGGAAAGAGCAACCTTGATATTTGGGCGTTCACTTGACATTTCGAAGTGAAATGAATTTGTTCCAGAAAGACGCGATGGTTTTTGTACATTAAAGCATGTTGTTATGTGCGGAGGTCATCGCGGTGATAGTGCCCGACAAAGTAAGTAAAAGCCGAATTTACTTTATCAATCTCATATTTCTTGCTACGTTTTGCTTATTTTATTTTTTGCCCGTGACCCCCATTTTCTTAAGGTTCGATGCCGTTTTCAACTTAACCCTATGCAAGCTGTCATTCGCCATCCTTGCTGCCTTACAAACACATTTCTAGTTCTTAATCCCCACCCCCTTTTTTTGTCCCTACGCTCCTCTTCAGACTCAATCTGTTTGATTTTGCCTGCTTAAGTAGGCTTTGGAATTTTCTCTCCCCCTCCTGTGCAAATTTCTTCCTCCTCGAAGTGGATTTCATAATTTCATCTGGGCCTCAACCTGACAGGGCAGTGAATCACTTTGACAGGCCTCTTCAACCCAAGCCCTTGATTTTGAGTATTTTGGGAGCAAGGGGGAGGAGCAAGTCATTGTTGGCAATTTGCAACTGCGATGTAAACCACGGGCCTGTTGAGTACTGTACTTGGTCCTTGGCTGATGTCCAAAGATGTGGAGAAAGCCTGTTTTTTTTTTTGTAGCATCTGGCACAGAAGTGGAATCTAGTTAGCATTGCTCTTCTTGGATCAGATTGCCGAGAGTGCTTGTTGTCCAGGGGCCGCGTGTCCCCCCCCATCACCATATTAGCATGCGTTAACTTCACGTACAGCGAGACGATTCTGTGGGGGCAGCAAGACATTCTTCGTTGTGCACCGTCTCTCGTCCAACTATTTGTATTCAACCCGATGTACTGTATTGTGCATTTATGTCACGGCGAACAATTTGTTGGCAAGTGTAAGAAATCACAGGAAATTCTCTTTTCAATCTAATGTTTTGACATGTGAACAGCATGCGTTTTGCGCCGCACGACAACACTCCATCTCGGCCCGTGGCGAGTGTGTAGCTGCGGATGCATAATCAGTATCTCCCCTGCAAGACCCTTCCGTATTCATGCTGCATAAATAGACCTCCCAGCAATGGTTTACATGATGTGATGTCCTTGTGATGTCCTTTCATCCAGCAAGACTTTCACAGACACTATCAGTGCTGGGGGGGGGCAGCGGTGGGGGGGGGG